AAAAAAAACTGAGACATGCATGTCAAGAGCTTAGCACAGAGCCTGTGCAGAGTAACCACTCCATAAATTGTGTTATTATATAACCTATTGTGGCTTATGTAAACTATAAATACAACCCAAAAGGAAGGAAAAGTCCATGGGGGGAAAAAGAGGGAAGTCTCATTATGACTTGCCTGGAATGGTAAAATCTCTGAGAACGTGTGGTTAGTGGCACAGGTGTGTCTAGAACCAGGTCTGTCCAGCTCCCTCGATTCTATCCACCACCCCACTGGTTTTTCAATGGCTTTTAAGGCTCAGTGACATTTCAAAAATATAAAGTTTTCATTAGGATACAGGCTGGTTGGTTTTTATAAATGTCTTCAGATTTGTCTCACCAATAGCAATAGATCGCAACTTTTGTGAGCACTGAAGTTAAAACTTACATTTATTGTCTTACCAAAGTGTAGAAAATCTAATCATTTTTCAGGCCAGAATTTTGAACTCCACTTGCCTCTTGCATTTTATATACAGGGTGTCCCCAAAAAATATATGCATACTTTGAATGATTATAAAGTCAGTGTCTGTTAAACCTGAAAAGAAGTAAAAATAAGTCATCAGCTGTTAAAGTGTGTATACAGTTTTTTGGGACACCCCATATATCTCCATGAAGAGAACTCAGTTGGCAAAAATTTACTGAGTTCTTACCGTATTCCAGGCCCTGAGCTGGGTGCTGGAGACCTCAGTATGGGTGTGAACATAAAAAATAGAAGAGGGAGGGGGCAAAATTATGTAAGAGAGAGATGTAGCCGGGTAGCTCAGTTGGTTAGAGTATCGTCCTGATACGCCAAGGGGGCAAAATTATGTGAGAGAGATGTAGCAGTGTAGCTCAGTTGGTTAGTGCGTCATCCTGATACACCAAGGTTGTGGGTTTGATCCCTGGTCAGGCACATACAAAAACCAACCCATAAATGCATGACTAAGTGAAACAACAAATCAATGTTTTTCTGTCTCTAAAATCAATTTTTAAAAATTGGGAAAAAAGAGAGATGGAATAGGTCACAGGCACTGAAGTTGGAGAGGGTAGGGGTATGGTAGGCAGGGTCAGGCCTGCCAGAAAGTGCAGGGAAGGCCTCACGGAGGAGGTGGTGGGAATTTTTCTTCTAGTAAAACTTGAAGCCAGGTCATGGGACTTCCTGTTCACAACCTTCCCCAGTATCTAGCAGGGATGGAATTAATGATGCGGATTTTAACACCAATGTGGTTGGTTTAACAATCACTACCTCGGTTAGAAACTCCTCCTTGTGTCTAATTTAGGTGATTCTGGATAGAGATGATTCAGGAGGCCATCTGGCTCCTTAGCCAAAGCTACAGCTCCAAGTCTTGGTTGACAGATTGGGTACAGAGTGGCAAAGGACTCTGGGAAGGTGTGTGCCCCGGTCAGGCACACAGATCTAAGTTCACCCAAAGGTGTGCTCTTTGAAGCAACTGATTTTTAAAATATATATATTTTACTGATTTTTTAGAGAGAGGAAGGGAGAGGGATAGAGAGTTAGAAACACTGATTGGGGATGTGCCCGAAACCAAGGTACATGCCCTTGACCGGAATCGAACCTGGGACCCTTCAGTCCGCAGGCCAACGCTCTATCCATTGAGCCAAACTGGTTAGGGCAAAGCAACTGATTTTTACTTCCTGAAGGTCTTGGACCATTTTCAGCTTGGGGCAGGAGGCGGGATGGTGGGCAGTGAGGTGTGGGTTTCCTAATGACAGTCAAGTTCAGGTTTTTGACACACATTACAAGTCAGAGTCAGGAAGAGAATGGGACTCTGCTTTATTAGGCAACATTGAGCATCCATCCTATGAGGACCAAGGTCCATTCCGAGAGCAGGCCCCATGCTCAGGAGGTGGATTCACATTTCCCAGAAATGCCCTCTCTACTCTCCTTTTCTCGTAACAAACCCCTTCACCTGCTATCACCCATCTCTACTGTTTCAAGGCTTAAGGACCCAAGAACAAAGCCCTGGTGGCACCCTAAAAGCAAAGGCACCTCTGTAGGACAACTCCTGACTCAAGCCCAGATCTCTCCAGGGGACAGATGACGTGTCCTCAAAACCAACGCTTCCTTCAAAATAACATTCTTAGTGTACAAAAGCTGCTGGGCAGAATTCTAGCTCTGCAGGTAGAAAATAAAAAAAAACGTAAGAATGAGGAACTGACAGGCGCACAGAGTAATGATTGCGGAGCTTTGTGTCTGTGGGGTAGACACAGGCCCACCCTGCAGAGTGCAGGGCTGCCTCACTGAACCTGGTGAGAGAGAAACTGCCACCCATCAGGGTGGACAGCTGGGAGTCTCCGCCTTCACACTCAAAAACGAAGCCCCACAAAAACTAGAGCACTCCCCCTGGCAGCTGACTCACCACCGGACAATAGCGGAGACAAAGCAAAGATGTAAATCTCATTTTATACCTCCCTGGCAGGCTCCGTTCAACTCTTACAATAGAAAGGCTACTAGGACGCTGGTTCCAGGACATACACAGTGTCTCAGTGCTCCTGACACTTTCAAGAGAGGACTTTTCCTTCATGTGATGACTCAGAATTACAGAAGCTGCTCCACCTTGACCTGAAATCAAAGCCCAGGACAGAGCCAGGAGGAAATGGTGCTGACGTGGGCAAGGGGCCTGGAATGCTAGCAGCTGGGGCTGAGGGCGCCTCAGCCTAACAAAGGGGCAGTACAACAACCAGGCTGCACCAATAGATTTCCAGTATTTCTCTGAGGACTCCGCGGGATGTGGGCCATGCTGTCTTCCGTTCCACGTGGCGGAACACTCCCCCGTCTACCAAAGAGGAAACTGGGGCACAGAGAGGGATCAAGAGAGAGAAAGTCAATCAAGCCATGAAACGAAACAGAAAAAGACCCAACTTCCCGACCTTCCAGTCCTACACTGTTCTTGGGGTTTGGCTCCGACCACTAAGATGATGGGATCTTAGGAATGAGGATGAGCGGTGGTGAGATTCTGGCACAAATCCCCAAAGACCATTCAGGAAGAATGGCTCTTCTAATGAGACAGCCTTGCTTGGGCGCAGTGGGACAATTCCCTCTCCTGGGCTGGCCCCTTTTCCACTTTTCCTTTTCGCCACATCAATAAAGTTTCTCTTTCGTGTGAGTTCTCTGATGTGTAATGAAATTGGAGCTATTGCTGAAGCCTTTGCCACACTCAGGGCATTTGTAGGGCTTCTCCCCTGTGTGGATTCGTTGGTGTATAATGAGAACTGAATTCCAGCTAAAGCCCTTCCCACATTCGGGGCACCTGTAGGGCTTGTCCCCCAAGTGGGCTCTCTGGTGCATGACCAGGATGGAGCCCCGGCTGAAGCTCTTGCCACACATGAGACATTCGTAGGGCTTCTCGCCCGTGTGGGTCCGCTGGTGCACCACCAGCTGGGAGCGCTGGCTGAAGCACTTCCCACACTCGCCGCATTTGTAGGGTTTCTCGCCCGTGTGGATCCGCTGGTGCTTGATGAGGTTGGAGCTCCAGCTGAAGCTCTCCCCGCAGGTCAGGCACTCGTAGGGCTTCTCGCCCGTGTGCATCCCCTGGTGCGCGATCAGGCTCGAGCTCTGGCTGAAGCTCTTCCCACACTCCCCGCATTTATAGGGCTTCTCCACCAGGTGGGTTCTGCGGTGTGTGGCCAGGTTGGAGCTGCGGCTGAAGCTTTTCCCACACTCACCACACTGATAGGGCTTCTCTCCTGTGTGAGTTCTCCGGTGGGTGATGAGGGCTGAGCTCTGACTGAACCTCTGCCCACAGTCGGGGCATTTGTATGGTTTCTCCCCAGTGTGGATCCTCTGGTGTCTGATCAGGTTGGAGTTGTAACTAAAGCTCTCGCCACATTCTTTACACTCGTAGGGCTTTTCTCCAGTGTGGATTCCCTGATGCGTATTAAGGCTGGACCGGTTGCCGAAGCTCTTGCCACACTCAGGGCATGAGTATGGTTTCTCTCCCGTGTGGGTTCGCTGGTGAGCGATGAGGTTGGGGCTCCTGCTGAAACTCTTGCCACACTCGGCACACTGAAAGGGTTTCTCGCCCGTGTGGATCCTCTGGTGGGTTATGAGGTTTGCGCTCCGACTAAAGCTTTTCCCACAATCCCTGCATTTATAAGGTTTCTCCCCGGTGTGAGTCGTTTGGTGTCTACTAAAGTTGGAACCATCACTAAAGCTTTTTCCACATTCGTCGCATTTGTAGTATTTCTCTCCCGTGTGGGTCCGCTCGTGTGTGATGAGGTGGGATTTCCGACTGAAGGTTTTCCCACACTGGGGACATTCGTAGGGCTTCTCACCCAGGTAGGTGCCCTGAAGGCCGATGAGCTGTCCAGCTTCCCTGCCCTGTGATGGCACTTCCCTATGGTCTTCACTTGAGGCCTTTCCCTGGGGACCCCTGGAGCCACAGTTTCTCTCAAGGTCACTTTCCCAATCAGACTGCTGAACACCTTCCCCTTCAGGTGTTTCTGAGAAGAGCCCATGTGATTCCATGTCCTCAAATATGTCTTGATTAGAGTTCTCCCCATTTTCACTTGGGATCTCAAAATCTGAAATGATGAAGAAAAAACATACAATTTATACTCAATTCCCTGTGATGAGAAAAGGAAATCAAGGGGAAAATGTTTAAAATTTCAACTTCTAATGAAAATAAAGAGGCTAAAGAATCCCGAAGACTTTTAAAAACCAGGTTTATTTTCTTCTAACTGGTTATATAGTTACCAGGCCTCAAACTTCCTGGTAATCACCCAGAATTTCTAAGTCTTAAAGCTGTGGGTTCTGTCTCTACTCGTTTCTCTGCTGGGAAATGAGGGCAAGTAGAAATTTGAAGATCCTAATCAAGGGAAAGTAACGGGGTACATGACCCCCAATGCACACCATGATGCCTGGTGCTTAGTATGTGCTCAATTAAATTTGATGAATTTTTTTATTGGCATCACAGAAATTTCCCTAAAGCTGACTCTCCTTTCAAAAGGAGCTTATATAATAATCTCATGCATTAAAATATGTCTCATGTTTATAATCTTAGTTGGTATGTAGGACACAGACAAGACGACAGGACGCCTGCAACAAGGGGTCTTGTAATCCTCCAGATGACTGGAAACTAGTAAGGGGGCAGTTTACAAAGCCCTTAACTTTATCTACAGAGTGTGCCTATACATGTATTTCCCATCTGCAATACAAAATACCTACCTTCCAGAACCTTGTCAAACCCTCTACTACCCAGTACTTACCAAGCATTTGGGTGAAAGAAATCACCAGGGAGGATTTCTGGAAGAATATGCAAGCCCTTCCTGAGACTAGAGACTCTAATGAATCTATCCCAGGATTAAGCCAGAGCAGCAGAAAGCTGTGAGCCGGGGCCACACTGTTCTGACTCCCCCGGGAACCCGCTCAGTGAACTGTGTGTTGGTGTAATGGCTCTGGCTGATTGTGACAAACATAAGAAGTGTCATTAGTACTTAAGGGCTGTCAGAAACATTAACGCTGCCAGGAAGTTGCCGATGACATTGTTTGTAACACACGATGTCCTCTTGATGAGCCCAAGGAGGAAATCTCCCTTGGACCAAACTACCAAAACGCTGCTCTCCTGAGCAATCAGTTTGTGTCGGCTTCATTCCCCAGGTTGTGGCTTTGTCTTTGCGTTTCCTGCTTGGAAACTTGGGAGCCAAAAACTCAGAGCAGGAACACTGGATGGCTTTGCTGCTCTCCTGAGCAACCAATTTGTGTCGGCCTCATTCCCCAGGTTGTGGCTTTGTCTTTGCGTTGCCTGCTTGGAAACTTGGAGCCAAAAACTCAGAGCAGGAACACTGGATGGCTTTACAGCATGCAGTGTGTGTTCTTTCATTTTTCCCTCCCATGATGTTCTTTTTTACTATAATTTCCCTGTGCACGATTTCTAGAAGGTGTCTTCAATTCTTTTTTTTTTTTTAATTCTGAAGCACATTCAGAAATAAATCAATGGTTTATTGATAAAGCAAGGTGTCTTCAATTCTTTTTTGATTTTTTTTAAATTCTGTAGCACATTCAGAAATAAATCAATGGTTTATTGATAAAGACCATTGCCTGAGTATTTCTAAGACCTAACATCAGACCCCACTTAGAAAAGCAAATCTAGCCCAGCCGGTGTGGGTCAGTGGTTGAGCGTCGACCTATGAACCAGGAGGTCACTGTTTGATTCCCGGTCAGGGCACATGTCCGGGTTGCGGGCTCGATCCCTAGTAGTGGGTGTGCAGGAAGCAGCTGATCAATGATTCTCACTCATCATTGATGTTTCTCTCTCTCACTCCCTCTCCCTTCCTCTCTGAAATCAATAAAAAATATATTTAAAAAAAGAAAAGAAAATCTATCCATAGCAGGAAAGACAATTAGCAAAATAATCACAAAGTCCTAGTGACATTTCCATTATTAAAGCTAATAAACTACATGTACAGTCATGCTCAATTCAGTGATTAGTTTCTATGACTTAATGTAAATTTCCATTGATGCACATGATTAAATTTGACATGTATCCTTTAGGTAGAACCTGGGTCCCACTCATGCCTTTAGTCAATATAAAATTATATTTAAACCTGCAAATAGGCATATAATTACAATTCGTGCTCACACTGACATACACTGCTGGTAATCTGTGAGTACGTATGATTGCCCTCTGTCCCACGTCCCCTAGATCTCCAGGGTACGGGTGTAGGCATGACGGGCACAATGCTGGTTCCCACCTGGCCAGGGCCAGTAGGTCTCTGGTTCCTCAACTTCCTGCAACAGTGTTTTGCAAGTTTCTAGCCCAGAGATTTGCTATAAAACAGGGCCTCCAGGTTGAGGCCCCAGTTTATTTTCTACAAGCTCACACAACCAAAAACATTTTTTTATGACTTTAGTAACTGTTCTCTTCTGAGTAGAACATTAGCATTAAAGGCTTCGCTGCCTAGCCCTGACCGGGTTGGCTCAGTGGATAAAGCGTCAGCCTGTGGACTCAAGGGTCCCAGGTTCGATTCCAGTCAAGGGCATGTACCTTGGTTGCAGGCACATCCCCAGTAGGTAGTGTGCAGGAGGTAGCTGATTGATGTTTCTCTCTCATCGATGCTTCTAACTCTCTATCCCTCTCCCTTCCTCCCTGTAAAAAAATCAATAAAACATATTTTAAAAAAAAAAAATTCGCTGCCTTAACATCTGAAGCCCTGGTATGTTCTAGGATGAGCTCAGAAGCAACAGGGAAAACAAATACTCAAGCTTCATTTCAGTGAGATTAGGAAGAGGGTTAATTTGCAGACACTAATATATGTAATATGTCAGGAAGGGCGTGATCTCAGAAGCAACAGGGAAAACAAACACTCAAGCTTAATTTCAGTGAGATTAGGAAGAGGGTTAAATTGCAGACACTAATATATGTAATATGTCAGGAAGGGCGTGCATATTCTTCCAAAACAGCGGAGACTGTGCAGAAGCCAGTGAGGGAGGGAGAGGGAGGACAAGCATGGAGAGCAGTGTGAGGAGAGGGCCAGTACCCAGGTGAAGGAGATCCCCAACAGCTCGGGCAGAAAAGCTCTTTCTGAAGGTAAGGATTTGCCTTCTAGGCAACCCTGCCTCTGGGGCTGGGATAGGCAAGGCTGGCCTCTTGGGTTCAGACAAGAAAAGGAAATGAGGCTGCAACCAGGATCACACAGAAGGGCCACCTGAGGAGAGAGCCTCTGACTCTCGGGCGGTAGTCATGGGAGTTGTTATTATGGAGAAAAGTGGCAATTTTTCATCCATAAAAAAAATTAAAGCCCTAGCCAGTTTGGCTCAGGGGCTAGAGTGTCAGCCTGCGGACTGAAGAGTCATGGGTTCAATTCTGGTCAAGGGCACATACCTGGGTTGTGGCTCGATCCCCAGTAGGGGATGTGCAGGAGGCAGCCAATCAATGATTCTCTCTCATCATTGATGTTTCTATCTCTCTCTCCCTCTCTTTCCTCTCTGAGATCAATACAAATATATACTAAAAAAAAAAAAAAAGTTAAAGGAAGCAACCACCTCTGTGCAGAAAGATCCTAAAGGAGAACTTGAGGAAAAGACGGTGAAACAATGAAATGTGAGCTGGCAAAATGCAGGAAAGGAGCCCTAACCGGTTTGGCTCAGTGGATAGAGCGTCGGCCT